TAGTCTTGCGCCACATAAGAGTTCCCATTCTCGATATGCAAACCAAAGCAGTTTGCAGTCTTTTAGAATTATTGTTAGTGTGAGACTTGCAAGAATGAGACCCAGCTCTGGTAATGTTCAGTGTACAATGAACAAGAGATCAGACCATTTCTACACGAAACGAGGGAGGGGTGTCGTGGACTGCGTCAACTTGGATATCCAATGGGAATCAGCCATCATTTCTGATAAGATACATCCACGATCATCATTGAATTATATACGAAATAAAAATTTCAACAATAATATCATCTCAAAAGATTAATCAAAACCAGCTTTTTATTCGTATATACAAAGTCCGTATAAAGCTAAATTTTCCTTCAACTACAACGAAAATCTACTTTGTGATGTTTTAAATGTCTCTACTAGTTCGATAAGCAAAATAATATTCGCTCTTTCAATCAATCTGCCTCATTGAGGGTCACAATGAAGAATTCCTCTGTACTTTTAAGCATTTAATATAGAGAGCTACAAATTAAGTGAACAGGAATTAATCAATAGCAGGTAAACATCTGATTTCGTTGAACATTATGCCTTCGAGGAATTACTTATGCTTGCTTGATAGATTGAAAGAGAAGGGTGTTGAGCTGCCGTCAAAGAGAAGGTGACTCAATTAGTCTGCTCGGTGATGGTTTTAACTTCACGCACCCTCGTCCAACATGTTAGATTACGCTCATCAACCAAACCAGACGTGCCAAATTACGCAACCCCAATCATGCCTTTCCTTGGAGGGTTAAACGTTAATAACTCTAGACTGAGAGGTTAGGACAAGTGGTTTCGTAACTTGACTTATATGCTTACAAGCTCATATCCCATTATCTCAATCATACTTGCTTACAGGCTTACGCAGTCTCGGTCAGGGCTTTCTTTGAGGTCATTAGGCCTTGATGATCAGAGCCTAACTGTAACCTTTTGATAACTCTGATTTAGGACCGGTATTGCGTATAGACGCTAACAAACACACGCGCACACTCTAGCAAAAGTAGCAGAACCTGTATGAAAGATAATTAGCCAAACCACTCTATACCGATCTAAGCTTTTAATTTTCTTTTGGCTTAACTGAGTCTATATAATAGGTAAGAAAAAGCTGGATAGTGTTCTTTGTCACATTCACATCTCAAGCCCTTATTATAAAAAGCAGACCCTAGCAGTAATCGTCAGATTATCATGTACAGACTTTATGAGCCTTGATTAAAACAGTGGCAACAGCATACTTTTATAGGAAAATTAAGAAAGTCCCACCTCGGTAGAAAATTCCTCGGGATGAGAATTAACAAAGAAGTAGAGGACCAGCAAGATCAGTAGCTTGAGAGTAAACTACTTATTCAATAGCCATTGTGATTCATAAAATCAATAGATAGCCATACCAATAAGATAAAGCTTAAAAGATTAGGGCATAATTTTGAAATTTATCTAAAAACCTTTTAGAATCTAAGAGTTCCATCTATGTCGGAAACATGTGCTAAAAATATTTTATATTGTGAGGAAAGATATATATTTAGACTATGGTCTGTTAAGAATAAAGGTAGCTATCGCCATATGGTAAATTTGTGTATTTTTGTTATCCGATGGTGGCCAAGACCC